AAAGGGAATATCAAGGTAATATTCTAAGGCAGTGTGTCATTGCCTAACAAATTCATACATGCTATTAAATATGACATACAAGTGCACCCTTTGCTAACAATAAGTTACTGTCAATAACTGCTTAATTAAGTATTTAATTAAAAAACTTTACACACAATTGAAAAAAAGTATTTCCCATTGAGTTATACAGCGATATAGTCTATCATAGGGTTCAACAAAACTTCACAACATTTCCTTCACCCCTAGTCTGCGAACACCTCTACAACGAGTCCGTCAACACCTGTACCGTCAGTATTGGCGCCAAAGACTATCAGGTGTTTTGAGACAATCAGACAATCAGTTGAAGCCATGGTTTAGTCGATGCCAACAATGGGTGACACAAACGGCACGCAATTATCGTCGCTGAAGGTGCGGATCAAGACGTGGGAGAAGGAGTTCAGCGGCCGATGCGGTCGCGCGCCCACCAAAGCCGACATCTCGGCCGACCCGCACATCAGAGACCACTACAAGAAGTACTGGAAGTGCGTGAAGAAGTCCAACATGAATGAGATTTGGAGCCATAGGCTCGACAAAAGGCACGCGAAGACCTCCCAACCGATCGCCGCCCGCAACGACGTCTTGGACTCGCTGTCCAAGAAAATGCTCGACAAGTATATGAAGGCGTCGACCATTGCCGGTGACACGGGAACCGCTGACGAGTCCTTTTCGTTTAAGAAGCGACTGTTGAAACAAAGGCAACAATCGGCTGATAACCAGAGGAATGCGGACCGAAGTGGCGGACAAACGACGAGCGAATCGGCGGACAATACGGCGCCAAATGAGCCCAAACTCAACGCTGTGCTCATGAGGGCGAAGAGTATCGACGAATCCATCTTAAGATCACTTTCTAATGAATTCAATAGTCATTTGAATAGACAGTCGACGGCTGAAGAGGCGCACAGTTATGGTCAGCCAGTGGTCGACAATAACTTAATTAATAATATCATTGACAGCATTGATGTCGATATCAATACAGACAGCACTCGCGTGGATCAGTCTGTTGTCAGACATAGGCAATCGATGGCTTCGGGTGTCGACAAAAGTAGACAATCGGTGGCCAACGATGTCGACGGATCTGTCTCTGAGCCGCAATCAAGTGATTCATTAGATATAAACGATTTAGAGATTGGTTTACGAAACACGGGAATCAAACGCAAGTCAGACGTCTTTGACTTCGAGGACGAGTTCAATGACAATATACCCGATAAACCGGTGAAGAAACGGATTTACGCCGATTTGGACGCAGAGAACAAACGCGTCGACCCATCGATGCCATCGATTGATGAAAATGAAGACAACAACCAATTAAGCGGTGACTCAACGAAGAAGAAAAAGTTTTTCGTCTCCAAAGACCGCAATCAGAGACTAAACTCATTAAATCCATACAAACACACCATTACGTCAATCATCGGAATCGACGACTCGATGGACACCGGCGATAGACCGGTGAAGATGGTGTCCAACAAGAAAAAGAGCGTTGAGAGCAACGGATCCAACGATTCCAACGTCGAGAACAAAGCGAAGTCACCGAAAGAGACCTCTAAAGCGGCGGCGCCTAAGAAGTTGAGGAAAAAGAAACCGGAGACCAATTACAAGAGGCTTAACATTAAGCGCAAAGTCTTCTGTTCGCGCGGTTACAAGAAGTTTAATGTAAGGAAATACAAGCGAAACAAATGGCGAGAAAGCGTTCAAAATAATCGCAACAATTGCTACAAATGCGGACAATCGGGTCATTGGGCCAAAGACTGCACTGTCGAGGAGACCGTCGATGACCACGAGTTTGACGACGAGCTCAAGGGATTGGGTGTCAGTAAAGCCGTCGAAGACATACAACAAACCATTTCTGTCGAGCCGTTGATCACAAATGAAGAGTTGAACGAAGAGATGAGGAGTTGTGTGGGCGATGCGCTCATCTCTATGGGACACAAGGAGTTCCGACCCAATCAAGAGTTGACTGTCAATCGCATATTAAGCGGAAAGTCGTGTCTATTGATCGCGTCGACCGGTTCCGGCAAATCCCTGTGCTATCAATTGCCGGCTTATCTGTATTGGCGGCACAGGAAGTCAATCACTTTAGTCATATCGCCGCTCATCTCCCTAATGGAGGACCAGTTGATATCAGTTCCTAAATGCCTGAAAGCCGTCTGCATTCACAGCGGTATGAGTCCTACGCAACGGCAGACGGCGCTAAACAGTCTACTGACCGGTGAGTCGCAAGTGCTTCTCCTATCGCCCGAAGCCATAACGGGCGGCAATACGTGTGTTAACCTGAATTCGTTGCCACCGATTGGGTTCGTGTGCATCGATGAGGCGCACTGTCTGTCCGAGTGGTCCAACAACTTCCGGCCCTCTTATCTGCAACTGTATCGCGTCCTAAGAGACAAACTCAAAGTCCGCACATTTCTGGCGCTGACAGCGACCGCCACTAAGAAGACTGCGCTGACAATCGCCCGAACCCTAGGGCTCGACCCTCAAGAGGACATCATAGGCACCACTCTAGTGCCCGACAATCTGGTGCTCACCGTTTCGCGCGACTCCAACAAAGAGTTGGCTTTAATTGATTTACTCAAAAGCAATCGATTCAATGGCTTGAAGTCTATTATCATTTACTGCACGCGAAGGGAACAGACAGAGAGGTTGGCGTCACTCATAAGGATTAGTTTCCAAGAGGTCAGGCAGACTAACCCCAAGACTGGCAAAAGTCGTATCGTATGGGACGCGCAGGCATATCACGCGGGGATGACCTCCGAGGATCGCAATCGAGTCCAGAAGCGGTTTATTAGAGGTGATCTGCGGGTGATTGTGGCCACCATTGCGTTCGGGATGGGTATCAATAAGGCCGACATTCGCGCTATAATTCACTACAATTTGCCCAAAAGTTTTGAGAACTACATGCAAGAGATCGGTCGCGCCGGTAGGGACGGCCTCGAAGCCCACTGTCATCTGTTTCTCGACTCTGACGGCTCGGATTTGTTTGAATTACAGCGACATATCTATGCGAACAGCACTGACAGGAAATGCCTGCGAAAACTCATTGAGAAAGTATTCAAATCATGCAAATGTCGGTCTATTATGGACTTAGAATCGGACGAATCGGTCGCAAACTCGGAGAATGTCTGCGCCGGACATGAGATCGCGTTTCCCATTGAGGCGACGGTTATGGAAATGGATCTCAAAGAGGAGACCATCTCCACGTTAATCACGTATTTAGAGCTCGACTTTTGCAGAGATAAAGTGAAACTCTTGTCGCCTATCAACTCGATGTGTACTCTCGTGTGTTATGGCAACGGATCCGAACAGATGAAAGCCATTTGCAAGGAGTGTCCCATCGTTGCCATCGCCGTCACACTCTATCAGAAGAACAACGCGAGTCAAGAGGTTCCGAGTAAACTGAAGTTTGATTTAGTGGAGGTGTGCTCGATGTTAGGCCGTCCCATAAGCGCTGTTCGGTCTGAGTTACGGCAACTGGAATGGCAGGTCGAGCCGAACGGTCGTAAAAAGCGAACCCACGCTCGGGTCATGTTCTCCGACCTCTCGTTTTATCTCAAGTCTGTCGGCGATATGACTGACGAACAGCTCAATGAATGCCTGGAATTCCTGCACGACTTCACCCAAATCCAGGAGTCGACCGAAGTGTCGAAACTCCGGAGCGTTTACCTGACGTTCAAACAGTACTCGCAGACCCTCTGCACGAATCGTGTCAACCAAACCAAGAGTCTTGAGCTCAAGAATCAGTTAAACAAGTATTTCAATGATGACGACAACACCGACGACTTCCTGTCCACCGAATTCAGTGACGAAAAGTTTGCGAAACACTTGAAAGGAACCGGTGTTCACGACTTGGAGGACGCGCGCCGTAACGTCAGGGAAAATTAAGCAGTTATTGACAGTAACTTATTGTTAGCAAAGGGTGCACTTGTATGTCATATTTAATAGCATGTATGAATTTGTTAGGCAATGACACACTGCCTTAGAATATTACCTTGATATTCCCTTTGAGTTATATTTACCTATTAAACTTTAATTTGTTTAATATGTATAAATTAATTTTTAAAAAAGTATGTGATTGTTATATGATTGTCTAATTTTTATTAATCTTAAAAGTATATCGGAATAATATCCACCTTAATTATTGTCTATTTTTAATTAAAATTTTATAAATTCTTATATAAAAACTAGAATTAATGTTATTTATGAACTATTTTAATAATTATAGTAGTATGTATAAATTGTTTGCTATTATTCTTGATACTGTATTACATACGAATTGCAATTTTCTTATATTGTATAATAAATCATAAAATATACTGTAATTTTCATATTTTTAGTATTAAAATTTATACTGAATTTACACCATACAAATCTTATTGTACAGTATATCAGTGCCTATAATATCATATACAAAGTAGTGTAATCTTTTATATAATAATAACTTTTGATATAATAACGTATGAATATTCTTCGCGAAAAGTTATATAATTAATAGAAAACTATTTTCAATTAATGTTATTAATTATCTAGACTCGAGTCATCTTATTATGAATATTTGTGAAGTCATATCACTTTTGCTAATGAATAATGATTGTCGGGTAGTACTGTATAATGTAAGGCATAATTTGTTAAACTATAATATCGTAAACACAATGAGAATATATTGTGTGAAACTGTTTGTGACACCAGTGTATATAATGTAGACAATTATAGCGTCTATTTAATCATTGGCACAAATACGAGGCATTTATTGTATTAATGAAAACTATTAATTAAAAAGTTAGTACCTTATTAATAGGAATTAATTTGGATATTAATTTGTAAGCAATCTGTATGAATGCAAATCTGTCTGAAAGTCTAATGTTATGTAAAATTATGAGCAAAATATGGCAAACA